CTGTGATCTTTTCAGAACTTAGGTGTTTTATTTGAAAAGGTAGCAGAGACCAGAAGGAACAAGAAGAAAGGGTGGCATCTGTGGACCTCTGCCCCAGAAAGCCTCTAAAAAGACGCCTGTGTCACCAGCCAGCACTCCTGCGACCCTCAGAATAAAGGGCACTCTTCCCACTTGCTGTCCGGAGGGAACACCCCGCTGGTTACTATGGAGGTGCCTCCTACTGCGGATACAGTATTACTCCCTCTGCCGCCCCGGTTTCTGCCAATGTCTTGTCTTCCACCTTATTTTCTGTCCTTCACTCTGGGCCCTAGTAAATCCTTGCATGCATAAGAGCTCTGGCTCTCAAAAGGAAATGTCTTGTTTCTTCTATGGATACAACAATGGTAGGTTAAAAAAATAAAAGCTTTACATTTTAATGCAAATGTGTGAAGGACCAGTATGCAGAAAGAGTTGTGATGGATTATACCCAAGTCTGTATATGCAAACCGCACGTTTTCCCATCCCAGCGTGTGGTGTGAGTTCTGAAACTTATGGAAGCTCACCGAGCTATTTCTCCAGCCCTGATGATGGCACTCGAGTTTCTTCCGCTTTGTTTCTGTGCCCTTATACGCAGATGGAACGGGCCTGTGAGTCTCCTCAGTGCAGGCAAACTGAGTAGGTGCCACCCAGGGGAGGGCCACCTAGCTGTACTTGGTAACCCTGGCTGCCTCCCCAGTAACCTCAGCTCCTTTTTAAAAATGTGTATAGATAGATAGATGATAGATAGATACATAGATACATAGATAGATAGATTTCAGAGAGCGATAGAAACATCGATGATGAGAGAGAATCATTGATTGGCTGCCTCCTTCACACCCCTACTGGGGATCGAGCCGGTAACCCAGGCATGTGCCCTGACTGGGAATTGAACCTTGACCTCCTGGTTCATCGGCCAACACTCAACCACTGAGGCACACCGGCCGGGCTCAGCTCCCTGTTAGACAGTAGCTTAGAGATCTTAGTGCCTCCCGTTCATCAGGTCTCAGATCTGTACCTCAGCAGGTCTCAGAGCTCCTGAGCGAGGGCTCTCATGGACTCTAGGGCGTCACGAGAGGGCTCAGGGGAGAGAGCTGGGGCTGAAGGACCTGCAGCGGGTGGCTCTGTGCCGAGTCTGTTCCCTCGCCTGTGAAATGGGTGATGATGCTTCTGCAGGGGCTTTGTGAGGTTTGAATTAGGTGACAGGTAAAAGGCAGGGTCCTTAATATACGTCACCTGTTGCTGCCTCGCTGGTTTCCATCATTACTATTCCCTGTTAACGCTTCCAGCCACCAGGTTGAGTGTTAATGATCAGAAAATTGGGCTTTCGGCTCTTGACGGGTGTGTTTATCCAAGCCTTTACTTATTTATTTTCCCCAGCACCTTCTATGTTCAAAGGCCCTTCACAGACCGTTTGAGCTGGGAGGGACCTTAGGGGCCACTTTCTCCACTTTGCAAATCAAGACAGTCCATCTGTGAAAGGGACCAAGGGCAGGGGTGGGAAGCTCAGGTTTGCCCAACGAGCATCTGTTCTCCAGGCTTTTTTCAGGGCATTTCATCCCATTGAGAGTTTGAATTTTTTATTTTACTGTTTTGGGTGAGGAAGCTGAGCCTAGCATTTCAGGACCGTGTCCAAGGCCAAGGTCCCCGGCTCATCAGCACTGCCCCCCGGGGCTTGCAGGAAGCCAGCCTGGTCCCCGCCCCCGAGAGACAGTCCGTACAACAGTGACAGCCAGCAAGCAGGGCACTCTGCCGCCAAGCTGACCGACTGCCCACCGTGCTACAGGCCTCTTCCTTAGTTTTTATTGAATTTATTGAGGGACTTTGGTTAACACAGTTATATAGGTTTCAGGTGCACGATTCTATAATGATCGTCTGTATATTATACCGTGTGCTCACCACCCAAGTGAAGTCCTCTCCCATCTCCATTCCCCCTCCCCCTCGTTACATTGCTGTGAACTTGCCGTGAACTCCCACAAGGACCCCGCGGAGGCTGCCTCCCTGCCTCCCGGTGCCTAGGAGCCTCCTACGGGATGACTGGCACAGAATGACCCCTGACGTCACGTCAGCCTGTGCTTTTCCTCAGTGAAAGATCTTGAACTTTAAGCACAAAGGTTTCTATCATTTTAAGATGTCAATCCCCACATTTCAGAAATGTCACGCTCTCCTAAGATCTGTAATTTCCTTGTCCCCAAATTGCACATTCTAAAAATTCCCGTTGGCTGGGGCCCGCCCGCCCCTGCTGATCGCTGGGAGGTGCTGGGCTGCGCCTTCAGAGCCGCCTCCGCCACCAGCGGGGCGTGCAGGGAGCTCATTTTAGTTCTGTTTGCTCACGCAGAGAGGGAGTGGTTTCTCAAACGCCGGCACACCGTGCGGTTTTTAAAAACATGCTAAGAGGAAGGATGGAAGTCACGAAAGGAGGAGGACTGCACGGTGCCCGGAGGGAGGATGGACAGAGCGGAGCCGGGAGCGCACCTGCGCAGGCTGGGCTTGCAGCACTGGTGTTGTAATTATGGGGACTCAGCCCAAGGGTTGGCCTGGCGGTCTCCCGCCCTCCCCTGGAGCTGTGCAGCCTGAGCTGCACAGACTTCTCCGTCACCTCTCCTCCCGCCCGCAGCGCCCAGCCCCTAACCAGTCCTGCCGCATTTTCTCTGCCTGGGCCTCCCTCTCCTGGCTCCTGCCTTCCTTGTCCCTCAGGGTTTCTCTGCGCCTCAGGCTCCTGGGCAGTTTCTCGGCCCACAGCTGATAACTTACTCTGACCTGGATTCTTCTCAGCTCCTTCCTCACGCGTGGTTTCCTCCACGGCTGTGGTTCGGTGCTGCCCTGAGCGCCGCGTGGTCACAGGCTGGCATGAGGACGCCCACCCCCACAGGCTCCTCCACAGGCGCCAGACCTGACTCCCCCCAAGTCCGGGTCTTCCCGCAGCCCCAGCCCTGGGACTGCCCACCAGCCTCTCCGCCCCTCGTGCTGCTAGAGCAGGTGCTCAACTGAAGCGCGCGTGTCTCTTCCTGTGACAGGGTCAAAGCACGAGGCGCCCTGGATTAGTCACTATTTCACCCTTTCCTAATGAATATTTATCAGGCTCCAGTGCCAAAAAGTATACAAGCATGACAAGTGAGATCAGATCTCAAGACATGTATGGCCGGTGGTGATTTCAAAACTCCGCAGGCACCTGTGATGCAGTCACATGACCCAAGAGCAGAGCAGTCAGCGTGCGCCCCTGCCCGGCCCTGGGTTGCCCCCACCTGGGAGTTTCCTGAGTCTGGGGCGTGCCTGTGGGTTACGGCTCTTCCCCACTGTGTCATTTCAGTTCATTAAAGCCCTTTATCGCTCCCAGAAAGGCAGTCTTCAGGCGTCTTCCCCAGACATTCCCCCAGTTCCCAACCACTCCGTCCCCGGGAAGGGTCCTGCCCCACGTGGTCTGCCTTGGCCGGTAGCATGTGGCTTCTTGACTTTGGACAGGAAAGATTCACACGAGTCCAGGTGATTTTGAGAGGACGTTTATTAAATCTGGGAGCAACAGTGAAACAGGAAGGGCCTAGGAGAGAAGCAGCAATAGGAAAGAGACGAGGCAGGCTGCTCGGGCTCTAGAAACGTCTTGGGAGAGAAGTGAGCCACATGGGCTGCTGCCGGCTCACTGAGAGTCAGAGAAAAAGGGGGCCTTGGGGACAGGTTCAGGGGGTTAGCTTGGGATGAGCTGCCGCTGCCCACTGCTCCCCTGGGTGCAAATCTTGTGGGATCCTGAGAGTTTAGGAGAGAGAAGGGGGGGCGGGGGCGTGGGCATGCTCCAGAGAGAGCCTGCACGGAGTCGGTTACTTGGAGGGCTCTTACCTACTTTCCGAAGGTGGGGATCCGAGGGGAGGTCCATGGAGGGTCTCGGTAGAATGTTCCTCGGCTTCCCAGGTGTGCTCTTTACGATGCTGATGTGCCCAAGTGAACGGCGCAAAGAGGGGCCGGGCTGTTTTCTGGTCCGCTCTCCCTCTAAGTGGGTTTGCTTGGTCCTGATTGGGTTTGTTGTTATTTATCCCCCTGACTTACCCGTCCCTGGGTTTGGCTGGCACAGAGGGCACTAGTCGGGTCTCTGGTATCTACCTCCCTGACCAGGTGGTTTAAGCTCTTTACTTATCTGGTTAGAAAAGAGAAGTGTAACCATTTGCTCTTGTGCCCTTGGCGGGGAAGATAAGATCTTGCGGTTTACTAGCTGCCTGTAAATTGCTCCAGTTGTTTGGCCCCATCTGTCCAACCATCTAGCTCAGTTTCCCTTTTCTTGTCAAAAATTCTAACCTCTAACCATCCCGCCTCCGCCCTAGTCCTCAGTGTTCCAGAGGGAAGTCAGTGCTTCCATGGCACCACCTCTAAGCACAGGCGTGACACAGCTGGGCTGTTCCGTCACGGCCCGTGGCATCCTGTTCGTGTTGGTCCCACGTGTGCCTTCCGACCAGACTTCTTCAGTGTCCGCACCATTGACGTTGGGGGCTGGCACCGCCTTTGTTGGGGGCTGTCCTGGGCACGGTTGGGTGCTGAGCGGCATCCCAGGCCTCTGTCTAATAGATGTGGGCAGCAGCCCCCCCCCCCCCCAACCCCGGGCCTGACAACCAAAAATGTCTCGGACATTGCCCAGTGCCCAGTGTCTGCGGGGCACAGCCAGCCGAGTTGAGCGCCCAAGGCTAATCTGAAGCTGCCCAGGGACAGGTGGCCTCCCGTTACGCCCTGGAGTTCTCTCACCCGTGCTGTGGCCTTCTTCCTTCCAGTGTCCTCTATGCCTTTGAACGCTACTGGTTGCCAAGGTTACAAAACAGTGAGCAGAGGCAGGGTCCAAGTCACATTCGGAAAAGTGGTTTTTCATCTCCATAGTCAGGACTTGAGACGTGACCCGTCCTTCAAGCATCCACGGGGAAGTGGGGTGTTCTGGGCGTATATTTTTATACTCGGCCATAAGGAAGGCCCCCCGGTAAGCTCTCACTGTCCTCTGCATCTCACCTCAGCACCATCAAGAGGACCAGCTCTTCGGAACGCGTGTCCCCCGGCGGCCGAAGGGAAAGCTACGGGGACTCCAAAGGCAACCGGAACCGCACGGGGTCCACCAGCAGCTCTTCGAGCGGCAAAAAGAACAGCGAAAGGTACGGGGCCCCGAGCCCACTGGGTTCCTCTCTTCCCCAGAGATGAGCAGAGACCCGACCACACACCTGAGCCAGGGCCCTCGAGGGCGCCGAGGCCCGAGGTCAGGGTGGCGCCGCTCAGGCTGCGGCAGTTCCTGTCCGGGTGGGAGTTACTCCGGGGACGCCCAGCCGGCCCGAGGGCCTGTTTCCACCAGCTCATGGAATTGGGGGGCTGGTCTGAATTTCCGCAGGCAGCGCTGTGTGTCTCCCGCACACCCTGAAAGCTAGTGTGAGCGCATTGCTGAGTCTGTCAGCAGCATTTTCTCAGGTCGGGTGGGTGAAACGTTGTACTTTTATGATTTGTCAGAAACCATCTGAACTAATGCCAGAAGCAGGAATCTTTTTTTAATTTGCTGGTTTCAGGAAATACGATTACTCCTAATTTTGAATTTTTCTTTGAGGTTAGTGTATAATGGATTTTGACAAATATCTATAAACTAATAGAAACATTTTGTGAGTGAGAGCTCATTTTTGGCATTTTAATGGCTTTTCATGCTGAAGAATGTATCGTGTAGACGAGGTCCCTTTCTCTGTGTGTAGCGACGTAATGTACTTTGTCTGCCTTTTTAAACATTGTGCTTTATTTTTATTCTCTCTGTTGAGCGAGGCTTAGGGAGGAATTTCAGCTTCAAAGGCAAATACTCTTTTTGTTTTTGCAAGTGCTCATGTAAGGAAAAAGCTTAGTCATCAAGCAATCAGCTCCAGCCCACAGTCTGTAAAAATTCCAAGTTTGTAAACCCATCCCCATTCAGTCCTGTAAAGGAAGCTTAAACCCTTTTCCATTTCATCTCTGAAAGATATCTTTGCAGAAGAGAAGCGAGCACTTCTCACATCCTCAGCAGGTCAAGTTCATGGCCGATTAAACCATTGACATGGGTTCTGTCTTCTAATGAAGACTATTAGTGCTTCTTATCAGAAGATTATGTTAATTGGGTGATAATACCCTGGAAATAAGGCCAAGTGGTTACAATGGCAACAGAGGGCGAGTGCAGCAGGCACGCAGCGGCCTGTGGGCGCCTCTGAGCTCAGGGTGAGCTTGCAAGTCGACCTGAGAGGTCTAGATTTTGGCAGCTGTTGAAAACTTGGCCCCTTCTATGCACATCTGCATTTTATTAAGAATTTCCAAAAGGAGTCTGCATTGTGCAAACTCCAGATCGGTTTTATCTTTTAAATCCTATGGCTTTGGTGAATATGCTGGGTAAATATTTCCATAAAAGGGATTTTAAAAGGGATTTTTTTTTCCAAAAAATAAATGCCACAGTAGGACATTTTGATTTGGAAATGAGGGTCTGAGTAAATTTACTAGTCATGTTCTCAAAATAATGTAAGCAACCGAATGTGTCCATTTAAAAATAATTCCCTGTCCTATTAGAACCTCCTCCACTCAGGTCTCCCTGCAGCAACTGCCAGGATGACGCCATGCTCCGAGGGCCATGCGCCGGGCTGGGTGTTTTCCTACTGTTTCTTATAAATTTGTAAGACTCAAGGGCATTAGATATAAAGTACTACTTCACAGAGGGAAGCACCGAGGCCCGGAGGCGTTCAGTGGCAGAACTGATGTACAAACCCAGACCCTTTTCTTACTCCAGAGCCTGTGCCCTTTCCGTTACGCCTGGCTGCGGACAGTAACCAAACAGGACATTCTTTTTAAAAGTAAGACAGCGTCCCAGAACCACGGACAAATACTAGTGAGTGGTGGGTAGGAGACCACGAAATCTAAAAGTGGTTAGGTGGGGATCAAGTGTGGTAAATCCTTCCCACGGCCGTTAATGTCACATTAGAATGAGCTGGTCTGTGTTCAGGGAACTACATCAGACCAAGAAAGACAAATATTGTATGATTTCACTTATATGCAGCATCAAAAAAACAAGCAAAAACACACACACACACACACACACAAAAACGCAAATGAACAAGCGAAACAAAACAGAAACAGACGCATAGAGAACAAGCTGATGGTTGTGGGGGCGGAGGGGGGGGGGAGACATGGGTGAAATTTTTTAAAAAAAGAAACCAAGATACCTTGACATTGGGCTGAGGGTGCCAGTCCTTTAAGCCAGGCTTTGACAACAGAAAATGAAGCAAAAGAAAATAGGTCACATATACTAAAGGCTCAACACTCAGACTGGCTTTAGCCTGGTCCTCAGCACTGGGGCAGCCGGAAGACTGTATATCTTTTTAAAAAAAGGAGGGGGGGGGTTGGGATGAGCTGGTCTGCAGGTCTGGTGATTCAGGACCACTCATCAGAATGCAGGTGGGCGAGGTGATGCTCTCAGAAGGAGAATCTGGATCTGCCCTGATCTGTAGGACAAACAAGTCATTCACCGGTGCTGCTTTAACTGGTGTCAGTCACCGGTTAGTTGCTGTAAAGCTCACAGTCACCACACGCCATAGGCAAGTTGTCGTTAGCACGTGTGACTCTTCTGCGAAAATTAGAAAAAGGCTCCTCTTACTGGAGAAAAAGGAGGCTTTTTTGCACATAAAGCATATATAGTTCTCAATAACAATGATTACAGCAAGTGAAAAGCCGGCCCGTATAAATTGTGCAAATCTTACTGTTGAACCTAAAATAATAGTGTTCTTGAGATCTCACCATTCACATTTTCTAAGATGTGATTCATTTTAAAATCGTTCCATTTTGTTTTCATAGACACTCTATGATTTATGATAGTGTCAGTCTTCTTGCTTCTGTTTCTCATTTTCTTTGGAAATGGTCACTGGATTTGACAGTCTTCCATGTGACATTGTAGACTTTTATCTTAGAATGCTTAACGTTTTATAATACTTGGTAGTAACAAGCCACAAAAGTTTAATAGCACTTAATCTGTGCACTGACAAAACTTCCAGAAAAACAATAGCAATATATGGCCATGTAATATTTTCTTTATATATTATTGATGGCAATAAATACGAACAATTATATAGTGATTCATGTCACAGGGAAGTGCTTATTAAATTTAAATAGGGAATCGACAATAACATCCTGATGAAGGACCTGTACTATCTAATGTAGCCAGTATACCAATCCAATAGGGTATTTTTTTTTAATTTTAAAAAGTGTTTTATTTCAGACAGAAAAAGTTACTATTTAGAATGCATAATTTATGTTAGATGTTAGACTGATAAATTGTTTCAATTATAAAACTGGTTCCCCCTTTGTAATTCTGCTGGGAATGAGACATAGCAACTTAAAAAAATACTTTGTTTCCATCAAAATGCTGTTCTAATGGTTTGATTTTAAGAAATGTTTCAACCATCTGCTAGAAACCTTGTTGTAACAAACATATAAGCTGTCCTTCTTCGGAGTCAACATATATGAAAAAAACTTCAAAATAACGGAGATGTTGCCCTGGCTGGTGTGGCTCAGTGGTCGGGTGTTGTCCTTGCACGGAAAAGGCATATGCCCGGGGTTTCAGACTCGATCCCCAGGAGGGGGCGTGTAGGAGGCAGCTGATCGATGTTTTGCTCTCACATAGATGTTTCTCTCTTTCCCTTCCTCTCTCTCTAAAAATCAATTAAAATATTTAAATAATCATAAAGATATCTATGTGTGGAAGTGGTCCCCTCTATGCCCTTTTGCCTTGCACAACCTGTGCACCTGTACCGGCCGTGTTATCCAGCCTGTAAGGTCCAGACCACTAGGCTGGACACTCTGAGCTCCATCCTGAGTGACACATGGAGGCCCTGAGATTTGTGTCTTAGCATCGCTGTTGGTGCAGCCTCGCTCCTAATCCTCCCCCGGGGCTTCCAGCCACCTCTTGACTCCTCGTCCTTCCTGTGCCCTGAGATCCACGCCTCTCAACACCAGCTCTCACTTTTCCCCAGCAAGGTTTTTTGTTTGTTTTCGGTTATTTTGTTTTTTGGTGTGTGGTTTTCATGTGTGTGTGTGTGTGTGTGTGTGTGTGTGTGTGTGGTTTTTTTGTTTGTTTGTTTTTGAGGAAACTTATTTATTTCATAAGTAACATGTGTTTTAGGAAACCCAGATGTTAAAAAAAAAGAGGAAATGGAAATTACCTATAATCTCACCCACTCAGAGAACTCATAGCTTAACATTTTATTACATTTCCATCTGGTTTTGTTTCTGGGGTGTATCGTATAATTTTGACAAAAATTATACTCTTCAGCATATGTTTGGTAGCCCTCTTTTTCATTTGCTCTATGACCAGGTCTTTGTGTCAGTAAATATACTCTTCCAACTTTATTTTAGATGCGGATCATCATTTTTCTAGGCAAATGCACTTTAGTTTCACGCTCAGTTACCAACAAGGTTTTTCTAATCCAGTTTGACCAGCCCCACCCTCTAGAACACTGCCTGGCACATAGTAGGGACTCAATAAACATTTGTTGAGTGTATCTTTTCACCCCAATCGATATAACAAAACAGGTTAAACTGACAGGCGATACAGCCGTAAGCCAGTGTTACTCCCAGCCCCGCCACTTCCTGTGTGACTGTGGACAGAATACTCAGTGTCTCTGGGCTTTTTTCCTCAGAGCCAGTAACATCAGCACTTACCTCCCGGGCCTGCCGTGAGGATTAAATAAGTCATGTATGTGGAATCCTTAGCATGGAGCTTGCTACCGTTGGCCCTCGGTAAATGGTCGCTGCAGTTACTCCTTTTCTCTCCCAAAGTGTGGGTGCTGCTGTGGGCACACCTTTGCTAGCTCCACTCCCCAGTCTTGAGGCCCCTCTCCTCGTTGGGACATTTTGGAATCTTCCAACTCCTGTTTCGACCCTCACCCCCCCACCCCCACTGGGAAAGGGAGGAATCAGAAGTTCTGGACGTTTCTGTCACCTTACCCATTCAGTTCCACAGCACTGCCTAACTTACTGAGCACCTACTATGCGCAGAACACACTGCAAGGCTTGGTGGTAAATGAAAGGATTTGCACACAAAGATTCATTCTCTCAACAGACATTAGTGACACGTGCAAGTGAAAAGGGCTAGTTTCCCTCATTTCCAAAGGACTCAACACCAAAAAAAAAAACAGTGAGGAAAAGGACAACAACTCAGTAGAAAAATGGGTGAAGGGTTTGGACAGGTTCTCTCTGAGACATACAAATACCAACCAATGAAAAGATGGTCAAACTCAAGTCTTAATTAAAGAAATGCAAACCTAAGTAAGAAGATAGCGTATTTAGAAAAATCTTTATTATAAAACACAGATACCAAAAACACACACACAAATGCATAGCTTAATGAATTAAACTTTCTAGCACTTTCTCCTGAGTGACATATATGTACAGGGTGCCCCCCAAATATGTATACACACACTTTGAGTAATTATAAGGCAGTGTTTGTTAAAATACATCTCATCTTCATTTAACAGACCAGCTGTTAAAGTGTGTGCATGCATTTGGGGGGACACCCTGCATATGTGTCTGGGAATTCGCCGGGTGAGGGTGTCGGGTATGGGTGGAGGAGCTCCGGCTTGTCCTCCCAGTCCTGGCAGGGTGCCCCCTTCGCTGGGAAGCTGCCCTGGCCCTCGGGGCTGAGTCAGGTGCCGTCAGGTGGCTTTGGAGCAGCCCATTCACTCTGTCCGGAACTGAAACTCCTTCCGCACTCCCCGCACCCACACCCTCGCCCTCCGGGGCTCTGGGAGGCAGAAGCTGCGTCACTTACTATTCTTGCATCTCTACCACTTTGCACAGTGCCTGGCTCACAGTAGCTGCTCAATAAATATCCGTTGAATGAATGAAAGGATAGTATCTATTTAATTTAAAACCATTTAAGAAGTGTGTAAACAGCGCCACCTATGGGCAAACACTTTTAACACGGCATTTTAGATTCTGAAACATTTTGCACTAGAAATTAGGTGATTAAAGTTTGGCTTTTTTTTTTTTTTAACTGATCAGATTGTTTCATTTTTTGGGCCCCGGGGGTTATTTATCCTTTAGTAAATGTTAAAGTAATAAATGCTAATATTCTTACATTGTTTTAGTTTTGAGGCTGTTAGGTGAAGAGCCCAGAAATACATATACTCGTGTCAGTGAAGTCAGGAGGCAGAGGGAAGTGATAGTAACTGGTCACCATGCACCGGGCACTTTGTCACACGACTTATTTGATTCTGACAAAGCCCCTCGGTGGTCTCATCCATTTTGTAGACGAAGGAAACTCAGGCCTGGCCTGTGGAGGGAAGCGACTTGCCCGACTGGGCACAGGTCAGCTGGCCTCACCATCCGTGCTCCACCCACATGGCGCGCTGGGAGTCGTGGTGGGAAAAGTCTACGAAGCAGCAGTTTTTGTCCCCAAGAAGGTCTTCAGTGACTCTAAACCTTTTTAATAGATGGGTTCCTAAATGATCCTATTTCTAGCCGCTTGGGGCTGTTTCTATAAAGAATCTTCGCTTGCATAGGATAGTATTTTGACTTCCGGCAGGAATTTTATTTCATTGAGTTAACTCTTTGGAGAAGGAGTCATGGAATGCGCGATGAGGAAGTTTTTACAGGCAATAAGTCGCAGGGAAATAAGATGTTAGACTCTGCAGAGGTCTCCTCCTTGGTCCAGCCTTACCAGTCATTTTCAAAAGCCAGTATCTCTGCTCAAACAACATTCCAGGACATTATGTATCACATCGCGGGGCGAGGGCAATTCTGCGGCTGGTGTTTCAAGTTTAAAATTAAGGAGAAAAGTCATATTAGGGTGATACCTGCTCAGGGACATTTTCTTAAATATGCACACACACGAAATCAGTGAGTTCATATTCCTCCGCAGGCTCACACCCCTCCAGGCTCCCTTAGGCGGGGTTTCCTTTACGGCGTCTCGTTCTGTACCCCAGAGTGGGACGCGATCAGGAGGCTGCTGACCGGGGAAGCTGCTTGGATGTCGGAGCCTCGCTGACCTGGGTCACGTACGGGCTCTGGTCTGAACGGTGCACTTCTTGCCCCGCCTGAGCTCCCTTTCCGCACTGGCGGGGCTGCCCCACAGGGGGGCTGTCTCCCCGGCACCCGGACTCCCCGTGGGGGCTCGTCCTGTCGGGAGCTTGCCCAGGGGTGACCTCCGTCCCTCTGTGGCCCGACCTTGAAGGCTTCGGGGGATTGCTTTCCGGGGTGCAGTCATGGGGCGGCCTCAGCCTGGCCAAGTCCACAGTGGGGTCCCCACATCTCCGATGACATGCCCCCCAAGCTTCACTATTCTTCCCTCCTGTCTCCCTCCCGCCCTGTCTCCCTCCCCGTGGCCTCCCTGCGGAGGCGGGCTCTGAAACTCCTCACCAAGCCCCTCTCCCAGGAACCCGCTCGTTTTAAATAAGTTCTTTAAGTGACCATTCCGAAGGGCCCGGGGAGGAAAAAAACCTTCTACACCCTCGGGCAGGGCCGTGCCCACCTCGATGAACCAGAGGTTTCCTCTCCAACCTCACCCGCTCGCGAGGAGCACAGCTTCGGGAGGAGGTGGGATCGCAGCCTCTGGCCCCAGTTTTGGAAGTTTTTGCTCACACTTGCTCCTTTTTAGTTACGTGGTTCTGTTTTCCTCGTTAACACGTGCTCCTCACACAGCACGCGTGTGACAAGCCAGCTGACCACTGTGGGGTCTCGCATGCATGGGGTCAGCCTCCCTCTAAAATCTGGTTTTCTTTTCTCCACAGCAAACCCAAGGAGCCCGTCTTCAGTGCGGGTAAGTCCGCACCTTTGCCGGTGCCCTCACTCCCCTCGGAGCCCGGGCACAGCTCAGAATCAGCTGGGCCAGGGCCACTGTCAACACCAGAACTTGGGTGTCTGCGTGGCGAGGCTGTCGGCCGGTCCCGGGGGCCCACCGCTCAGATCATACAGACCGAACCTTTACTGGCCCCTTTAAGAGCTGGTTTCCGATACTCCACCAGGAGGAGGAAGATGCCAGCGGGCAGTGCAGGGCACTCGGGTCCTCAGACCTGCCGCCTCTTCCCGCTCAGGGGGTTCCCAGCATCAGCGTTTGCCTTTCCCTGACAAGGAGCGTCTCCCACACACCGAGTTGTAACTTGTCTGCAGGAGCTTTTCTTCCTGTCCTGCCCGTGGTTTCCTAACCTGGAAACGAATAGTTCGTTTGGACCTTTCCATAGAGCTTTTTTAAACACATTTCATCATAAGGTACACGCTATCTACAGGGTATTAACCTTATTTAAACGTGCATTTAAAATGCAGAGAAATGGACACGTGAGTAACTGGGTAAATCCACTCCTTTAATTTTCGTCTTCCCAGTGTTTTCCAATTTGGAATTGAAGCGTAGAAGTCAGAGTTCCGGTGTGTCAGCAAGTGCTGTCGTATTCATTGCGTTTTCAGGGAGCGTGAGAGCTCACTGACGGTGCCATGACCGCAGCCTGCAGAGCTAGGCTTCCCTGTCGGAATCCCTGAACTGTGTCCGGGATTTTCTGTCGGGGGCGGGGGAGGGTAGCCTCTCCCACCGAGAGCCAGCGAGCGCTCGCCCAGGCAGGCAGGCCCCTGCAGTTCTCCGCGTCTCTTTATCTAGCCCTTCTGTCTCTGTCTCCGAAATCGCAAGGGAAGCGCCGGGTGACGCACTGCCAAGGTAGGCCGCCTGTCTGCACCCTCATAGCTCTCTGGGCGAAGCTGTGGCCCAGGCTCCAGAAACGCTGTTCATACGTCAGCCAGACCTCTCCCCGTGTGAGAGCGTTTCTGCGACGCACACACTTGGCTGGAAGTTGAGCCCCTGAGCATTTGACTAAGTAGCTGTCATTCGGGTCTTGGTTGATTATGGGCTGATTACAGGAACTTTCCCCAAAATCTGTCTAAGCCTTAAGAGAGCTATAGGACAAGGCCCGGCGCCCACTGTGTGCGATGGCCCTGCACCCCTGCTGGCCTGCCCCCGCCTCCGGTGTGCTGGCTGTGTGCTGTCACCCTAACACGCCTGAGAAACGTTGCTTCCCCTTGCCGCTCGGGGCTTTAGATGTAGGCCTCTGCGTTCCCAGGACAAAACCAGGCCAAGGCCAGTGTTTTCATAGGACATAGACAGCAGTTGAGATTGGTGCAGGAAGTGAACCTCAGTCGTAAGGCCTTCGTCAGCAGCACCTACTACAGTATAAGCAAGTAGATATACTTGATCACATCCAGACACTGATTAAACACAGCCACGGGGCTCTGCGTGTGCTGCAGAAGTGGCGCTGTGTTCTCTCGACCCCTGACCTGCAGTCCGATTCCTCTCTCACAAGGAGAGTGGGTGGGCTCATTCCGAGTTAACGTGAAGCTCTGTCATCCCGGCCCCTCTCTTCACGGCTGTCAGTCTGCTGGGTGCTCTAGGCTCTTTAGGGAGCCCTGCCGTCTGATGAGCTCAGATGTTGGCAAGGGAGCAAGGAAGGGAAGAGGTTTGAGGCCAGGAGAAGAGCCTGTTAGGGGTCCAGAGCAGGACAGATGTGTGGGGTGGCCCGGAAACGCAGCTGGCCAGAGAGGAGAACCCACGTGGGTGGTTGTGACCGAGCAGTTAGACCTTTGCATCCAGCACATCAGAGACAAGTGGAGGATTTGGGGTAGAGACTCCGTGAAGCCCAGGTTGGGCCTTCATGGGTTCAGCCACAGAATGTGAGATGGCCTAGGGCTGTGGTCGGCAAACAGCGGCTCGCGAGCCACATGCGGTTCTTTGGCCCCTTGAGTATGGCCCTTCCACAAAATACCACGTGCAGGTGCGCATGTACAGTGCGATTGAAACTTCGTGGCCCATGCGCAGAAGTCGGTATTTTGTGGAAGAGCCACACTCAAGGGGCCAAAGAGCTGCATGTGGCTCGCGAGCCGCGGTTTGCCGAGCCGCAGTTTGCCCACCACTGGCCTAGGGGACTGATAGAAGAGCCTGCAGTGCTGGGTCTCAGGTGGGCTGATCCCAGTGCATTGGGAGGACGGAACCCAGTGAAGCATTCCAGCGGGATCCACAGCCCGGCGGCGGCTCCCTGTGCGGGATGAACGCGTGCTGCTCTGACCTCAGAGCCCCCTGCACGTGTGGAGTGAAGAGTGTGTCACGTGCATGCATCAGGCCTGGGGCACGCACACGGCAACAGCAGAGCTGGCCTCAGGCCGCTGGGCAGCATTGCATGCGGCGTGGTTTGACACCCTTGGGGCTAAGACTGACAAAACTAACATGTGACGGTGGCACCTGGCGGTACTGGAATGATTTCCTGTTTGCTCTCCACCTCCTCCTGAGGATGGTTTCTGTGGGTTACCACAGATCTCCCTGGTCCCAGCTGCCCGATCTAAGTGCCTCTCAGCTAGCTGGTCCTTTGATCCGCAGTGACGCATCCGAGCGCAGCGAGCGCTGACGGGGAACCGCATTCTTCCGGAGCACCCACCAGAACCTCCTTTGGTCTTACCATGACCTGAAAACGCTACCGGAAAACCCCAAGTTATTTCCTTCCCAAAGTCCAGGCGATACCATGTCGATATATCTCTGGGTTTAACTTTTGTCCCCACAATTTATGAAAACATCAAAAGTTATTTTATTATGAAAGTGTTTGCTCCAGAAAGTTTTATTTCCCAGTTTCCCTCTCTGATGGGCCTTTTGCTCATTTGTTTTTCATTTTTTGCTTTTTATTGAGCATTTCCCATTTTGCATGCGTCCTAGCATGTACTTCTGCTTTGAGGTTCTTTACACGGGACAGCATTGTTCCACATAAAAGACACGTAGAGACACATTCTTACATCACCATGTAACCAACCAGTTTAAACATCGGAGGATATCTTATGACTTTCGATGTGGAAATTATATATACATGGAGCTCAGAAAGTTTCAGTGGATTTCTCGTGTTAGTTATAATATGGGAGGAGTACCATTTTCTTCCTTCCTGATGATAAAATCTCTCATGAAAAAATAATGGAATCCAGTTCTTGCCTCCTTTTTACAGCTTCTTACATACTTCATGTACTTAGTGAGCAGAAGGTCAGAGAGGACAAGGTGACATTAGACATTCGTTAGAAGCGACAGGAAAGGGCAGCGATTTCCCTTTGCACTGAGAGGCTAGGAAGGGACCTGGCTCTCAGGTGCCCTGGCACTGAGCTGTCTCACCGCGTCTGTTCTCCTTGCAGAAGAGGGCTACGTGAAGATGTTCCTCCGCGGCCGCCCGGTCACCATGTACATGCCCAGGGACCAGGTGGAGTCCTACAACTTGGAAGCCAAAGTGGACCTTCCAACCAAGAGGCTCAAGCTGGAGTGGGTGTATCCTCGTCCCTCGCGCAGGGCTCGCACGAGCCATCGCTGATCATGCTTTGGGCTTGATGCCCAACTGTAGAAACTCTTAAAACTTAATTTCTCTTAAGCTTCTTTTAAAAACACCAAAAACATTTTCTTATTTAAAAATAATTTAACAGGATCAGCCATAAGTCAGCACCCCGTAGACTAGAAAAGTCGTTCCATCAGAGCTAGCGATGATGAAGGGCACCAACTTGTCATTCCTGAGGTTAGTATTTGTGGTCCTCAAATACATATATATCATCTTCCTGAAGAGAGAATATTGAAACGTTATATGGCTGAACGATTCTTTTGGACAGTTGTGGGAAAATGCATCACTAGTTTCTGGCCAGTATTTTAATTTTTCTGACAGAATAAAGTTAGTTAAAAACTCCTAGAAAAGCAAATTTAGCAGAAATCACCTCAGTGGGTAAAGGTTAGGGTTCTAATGAACATGGGAGCGCGGAAGGAAGGACGCATACCTCCTCCAGCCCAGCAGGGACTCGGCCGCCACCGAGCCTGACTGCAGGTTAACACGGCCTCGCTGAAGGGCTTCTGTCAGCAAGAACCCACGTCCTGCACAGAACCCCCACGTGGCATAGCTATGATACCCCCTAAAAACCATAAGAAACCTCTCCCCCACCCCCATCTAGGCCACGGAAATGCCAGTCGGCCATGTGACTACCGTCCTTGGCATTAAGCTGCTGCCCAGCCTTCGTGGGGTGAGATTTGGAAAGTGAAGGAGCTTCCCAGGGGAGACGCTGAGAGCCTGGGGAAGGGCTGGATTAAATGTTGACATTTTATTTTATATTTTATTTTATTTTATTTTATGTTATTTTACTTTATTGTACTTTAGAGGAAGCCTGCAGAGGCCACCTTCCAATCCACGCAGATTTTAAGACAAAGCAAAAACCCTTCCTCCCCCTCAAACAGATATGGATTGATTTCCAGTTTAATGCAAAGCCCTAAACACGGGTTATACGAAGTAGGTTTAAACGGAAGCTGTTGCAGTTTGACTTACGAGAATTGCTACTATATTTGAAGTTATGGAATCAGGTTCTTTGGAATGTTTTTAGAATTAGCATCTGTACCTAAATTTCTCCCTCCAGAATTTATTTTTTATTTTTCAGATTCAGATGTCATAAGCATTTCCCTGCCCCTATTTTTCAATCTATTTTGGCGCATGGAGTTGGAGTTCTTTAAGTCAGTCATTGTTAAATTGGCTAAATCAGATCTGGAAAGCATTATTGGAAAAAACACATTTGCTCAGCCTACTCCCTGTCTATATTGTAGAAAATATAAAACAGTGGAATTTGCTCCCAATAAGTGGTAGGTTTTTTTGCCAGGTTACTTTTTTACATCCAAGTTCACATGTTTTGCTCGCAAAATAGTTTTCAAGGTTTGGAAGTGTTCATGCCAAAATCTCAGTGGTAATTAGCCTAAGCAGCAGGGAGTGGTTGGAGGAAGGACCTAAATATTTTACTTTTTATTTGTGTGTGTGTGTGTGAGAGAGTGTGGTTTGCACCTTTTACAAGTACTTTTATAAAGATTGAGCTCTAAGATTACAATAAGAAACAAACCCATAATTGACTTAATAACCGTAGTATGTTAAAGTCCATTATCAGCATCTTAACTTTTTTAAAAATAAAGCATAGGAATTATCAAAGCTCAAAGTTTTTTCTTGGAGTGGGATTGATAGCCTCACTTAACATTTTGAGATGTATTTTGTTTTCCATACAAGCTACCAAAGACGCGAACTATAATAGGATTCGATTAATTTCCCAACCATGACTCTAGAACCAGGCCTGCTCTCTCATTAACCCACAGAGTAAGGCCATTTCAGGTCCCCATTGAAGGTTTGTGTCCCAAGACGACAGTGACATGGAGACGTGGACGAGTGCAGGCTCTGCTGGGCCTGTGGCTCCTTCTGGTTCTGGTTCCCAGCGTCAGGCCCTCGCCTCTAAAGAGCAGAGGGAAAGTGAACACCCCGTGGGCCCCGGTGACGGTTCAGCAGATCTGAGCAAGTGTGATAACTGGAGATAAACGCTACACAAGCAAGGCAGCAGGAGGGAACGAGGGGCAAAATGTGGTGCCAAGTATTCTAGCATTCTTGTGAAATGAGTGTCTACAGCTTCAGGTGACTTTAGTTCTGGAGGCAGGATGTCACAGTTGTCAGCCGTTCAGAACACCAGCTTGGCCAAATTTAAAGGGAGACGAGGTGCAAAGAAGACAGGCATCCACATAAAATCCAACAGCTCAACATAAAAATGCGCCCGGGCTGTCGCTCCCCAGAGCCAGGATTAATAGGCTGAGTCAGAAAGAGTTCGTCTGCCGGTGACGTCACGAATGTCTGATCTAGTTACCTTTCGTAAATAAAGTAATAAGTTACCACTTTTGATCAAGCTTAAACAATTCAGCTTTCAAAATATAATATTTACTTTCGCCCGGCCGGTGTGGCAGGTGGTTGAGCGTTGACCTATGAACCAGTAGGTCACGGTTTGATTCCTGGTCAGGGCACATGTTAGGGTTGTGGGCTTGATCCCCAGTGTGCGGCGTGCAGGAGGCAGCTGATCAATGATTCTTTCTCATCACTGATGCTTCTATCTCTCTTTCCCTCTCCCTTCCATTCTGAAATCAATTTAAAATACACACACACACACACACACACACACACACACACACACTCTTAAAATAAAACCAAATCTTCATATTGTTAAAAATAAGTGTTCACATTAAATCAATGGCCATTTCCAACTTCATTGCCTTCCTATTTAGGGAGTGAGATGTATTCGGCCCCCTAGGTAACATTTTGTGTAATTGATGGTAATAGTCATGTAGAATTGTTTGCCTGTTAGATAAAGCTGATGTTTGTCAGCTCTTCAGAAGAAAACAAGTTTTCTCTTGACATACACGAAGCTACGGGTACAGGGGCCGGGACTGTCGGAACAACCTGTACCTGCTCCCGACGGGCGAGACGGTGTACTTCATCGCGTCCGTGGTCGTGCTGTACAACGTGGAGGAGCAGCTGCAGAGGCATTACGCCGGCCACAATGACGACGTGAAGTGGTGAGTCCCCCAGCCCTGAGGCAGGCTGCTCCTGGGTAGCACTGTTAGCAGGAAGGGCTCCAATCAGGGCATCACTAGAGAAGGGACCTGAGAAAAGCGTTTCGTGTTCCGTGCTGCCCACTAGCTCCCTGGCCTCTAAGACACCTTTGGAGTTTTCTGTTTTTATAACCCATAATCTTAACCAACCACCTGACCTGAACCAGTAGCTCTAATAGACCCCTGATTAGAAGGCCTTCTTAGCACATCTCATGCTAACGGCTTCTAATTTGCGGTCTTTATTTTTTAATAAAAAGTAAAATGTTTTGCCTCATGTTTTGGGCTGGCTCTGCTATTCCCATAATTTGTTCACAGCCTTCGGTGGGGTTTTATGTATTTGGAAAGATGGTTGGATGAAGCGATGGATTTATGCTTTCCTATTTGCCCTAGGTCCCTAGTCTGTTATAAAAGTCCTCTTGAAAACAGTGGTGTCTTTGCTATTTGATATACTCAACATGGCTTTTTTAAAAAGCTTGCTGACTAATTAAGTAGTTCTGAGATTGAAATGATATTTTCCAGTAACAACAACAAAAAATGCTTTTTCCTTGAGTTGAAAATTCTCTAGAGATGAAGGAATCAAGATGAAATGAAATAAGCACTAATTGTCTAAAGCAGCCACGGGCTCAGATGATTTACTGTGAGTCTGTAAGAAATTAGGCATCCTATATTTTTATATTTAAACTAGTGACCTGGTGCATGGATTCATGCACATTGAAAGGAAATTAATTAGAAGGTGGCCGGCAGGGAGGGACTGGGCAAGACGGGCCAGACGCATTCTGGAGCCAACCTCCCGTGGTCCCTCCCTGCCAGCCGCACCTGGGGTGGTGCGTGGCTCAAAGGGCATCTGCAAAGTGAGCAGGGTCCCTCCAGCAGGTGGGGTCCCTCAGCCTGGCCTGCAGAGATTGGGCGAAACTGGCTCTCCGACATCCCCCGAGGGGTTCCGGAGTGCGAGAGCTGCAGTGACTTGGCAGTGGCAGTTCTCAGGTGACGCACCCCGAAACCAGAGAAGAGGGAGTCTGATTCCTCGTGGAGTGTCTGCCCCCTGGTGGTCAGTGGGTGTCATAGCTACCGGTCGGACAGACACTTAGCATATTAGCCTTTTATATATATAGATTGTCAGCTAGATTATATTTGATCAAGGAAAAAATAAAGCTTACCTTTAAAGAGTAAGAATTTTATAAGTGTCTTTTTTATAGCCTAGCAGTTCATCCGGATAAGATTACAATAGCAACAGGACAAGTCGCGGGCACTTCCAAGGATGGGAAAGTGAGTTACGTTATCTCTTCCTCTTTGTATAACATAACATTTTGCTAATGAACAAGCCTGCTTGGATATAAAGCACCTGAACACTTCTTAATCTCTCATGAGAACTTTTTATTGCAAATTAAAAATTTTACAGTAATCTTAAAAACCCTTTAAATTCACCTTAATTTCAGCCAATTTTTAAGTAACATCATTCTTGCCTAAGAATTCACTAATTCTTAAGATATTTACACACAGGATAAACATTAAAATACCAAGTACACATTTAATGCGTAAAGTTAAAATCATAATGACATGATTTGAAGGGGGCCTTTTGCCTCTCCGGTGACTTCAGACACATTCTCTTGATCGCTATAATCAGGACCTCAGCCCTAGAGTTTGCATCTGTGTGAGATCCACAGAGACCGCTGGGCTTTCGCACAAGTTCTGTAATCGGAGGGGGAGCTAGTGGGATTCAACAGAGAAAAATTCAGAACTGGCTGTCCTTTCTTCATTTACTGCAGGCTGTGGTCATTGTCACTCCTTATAGCTTTTATTTGTTGTTGTGATTGTTGTTAATCGCCACTCGAGGATATTTTTCCATTGATAATTGTTTTTTAGAGAGGGAGAGATAGAGAGAGAGAAACATCGATTGGTTGCCTCCTGCATGAGCCCTGACCAGGGCCCGGGATTGAGCCTACAACTGAGGTATATGCCCTTGACCGGAATTGAACCCGAGACCCTTCAGTCCTCGGGCCAATGCTCCTACCACTGAGTAAACAGTTAGGGCTCCTTGTAGCTTTTTTGATACCTGCCTAAGGATAGCTTATTATGGAGCAATAGATGATCTGATACTCATCACATGAAATACTTCCATTTTTATCAACATTGCCTTCCAGCAAACCCAAGTGTTACCATTTTTTTGGAAAATATTTCAATAACATCAACTATTAAATATTAACTGTTTTCTATTTTCCATTAAAATTCTACACTTGAAGTAACAGGAACAATAAATCAGACCACTATTATGTAAATACACATGCATGGAACAGAGTCGCCTGTTTTTGTTAAATGTTAAATGACCTTAGAAGTTCTTTGAAATTAGTAGTAAGCCATTTGTTCCTCCCTCTGGTGAACTGAACGTGTATTTCCGTTTCTGGCATTGAAATCAGAACTTTGCAGCCAGAGAAGATGTGATGGCTATCTGAGCCTCCCATTACAAGTTACAAGCGGAGAAGTCCAGGGCGGTCACGTGACTGTCTGCAGCCGCCCAGCTGCTTAGAGACCAGTCCACCCTAGAACCTAACTCACCTGACCCCACTGTCCTCGAGGTGCACTGCTGTGCACTGCTGGGCCTTTTCTTTTTTCTTTTTTTTTTTTGGGGGGGGGCCTTTTCTTGACAAATCTGCTGATAGTTCTGGGCTGCTTTTCTCTGTTGAGAAAGAAAAAAATTAGTATAAATACCCGTGAAACACAATTGAGAGGGTATTGAACTGAATCATAGCAATTCTAAATTTTATTTGTGCATAATTAATGGCCTGTTTTGCTCTTATGGGGCCCACGGAGCCCTTAAAATGATTTGGTGGTGACCGTCTTGATGAATTCACACACACACACACACACACACACACCTACCTTAATAACAATATGAACTTTGTAAGACTAATCCTTATATGAGATTCCATTCTCCTTGTCATTTTTTAATTTTAAAATTCAGTTTCGTCCAGGTGTATACATTAGAATATCAGTTCCTGTGTGATTAAAGAATTGGCTATTCAAAATTTAAAACTTGGCAGACCTCACCTGAGGTTAAATGGCACAGAGGCCATGACTTCCTGAAGACATTGGGAATTTGTCATTTATGTTAAAAGAATTATCAAAGGCAGAAAAAGACCTTTTGTCTTGACAAAATTGAAGTCATCTTGTAGCTTCAAGGTAAAGGTAAATTTGCCGAACTCTCACAATTGGTGACTTGGCGTTTTTTCCTCAACAGCAATTGCCCCCACACGTGCGCATCTGGGACTCTGTGACACTGAACACCCTGCACGTCATTGGGGCCGGGTTTTTTGACCGAGCCGTCACCTGCATCGCGTTCTCCAAATCTGTAAGTCTGAGCCCTGCTGGTGGCGCACTCTCTCCACAGGGAGGGGTCAGCTCACGGCCAAAGAGGGAGAGAGTTATGGGTGGTTCCTGGGTGTGTGTGCAGATTTGACTCCGAAACCTGCCCGCTTCCCCGTCCCCACCTTCAGAGGCCACCCTCCTCCAGTCAGCCTTCCAGCCGTGGGGCGAGCAGAGGGGAGGCCCTGCTGCAGCTGTCCTCCGGTTCTGCCGGCCGTTGGCCTGCTCTGGCCTTGAATGTCACCTGCCCCTCCCTAGGGGACCCCAGCATGCCCCTGCTGTCCTCACAGGCTGGTCCACTGTCACAGAGCTGGATGGCGCCAGGGTCTCCCCCAGACCCTCCCTGTCAACCACGTCTTCATCCAGTTCAGAGACTTATATCCAAGGCGCATGCCTGTGTCCACCTCCAAGCAGCACACGCTTCACCCAGTGCTCTCCCTCCTGGCACAGCCTTTCAGTAACCCCGTTAGCACCAGGTCGGTGCTGTGCCGGGGGAGGGCTCGGCAGCCCTGAGGAGGCTGTTTTTAGTGGACCTGCTGCGGGGAGCCCCCCGAAACCCCTCTCCTGCTGCTGTCCCTTCATCAGCCCCCCTTCACCAGCTCTCCTTGTCTATCCGCCCACGTCAGCAGGTCTCAAAGGCAATCGGCAAATATTCTTTAGCCGACATGCGGCAGACTCCATGTTAAAAGTAAAATTATCGTTCATTTTTAATCACACTCGACCTGTTTGTCCTCAAATGTAGTCTTCCCGGGAATACTTCTCTTTTTCAGAATGGAGGGAGCAACCTGTGTGCTGTGGACGATTCCAACGACCACGTGCTGTCGGTGTGGGACTGGCAGCGGGAGGAGCGGCTGGCGGACGTCAAGGTCTCTCTCCCAGCCTGGCACTGGCCACGCTGTCCTTCTCCATGTGGAGCCTTCTCAGGCCACGGGCTGCTGGCCACTTCCCTGCTTCTCAGAGGGCTGCAGGTCCCCATCCCACGGCAGCCTCGAGGGACACCTGCCCCAGCATCCCTGTGGCCCGGCCCACCCCTCCCCTCCCAGGATGCCATGCACAAGCCTGGCAGGTTGCTTCCTCTCTTCACAATGTCTGCCAGGGTTTGCCGACCTCATTGTACAGCCACGGCCCTTTTAATTCATTTGTTCACTTTTCCTCGCTTTGATTCCACAAATGCCAAGTGTACCCTGTGTACCCAAATGTCGAGCGAGCAGGCACTGGAGGTGCAGTGACACTGAGTCCCAGGCAGGGAGGGGCCGGGAGGGGTGGGGGGAGGAGGTCTGACCGACCGCCAGCCCAGGGCCCAGAGCTCAGGACTGGGGAAGGAGGGGCCACGCCGGGTCCCAGGCTGGTGCCCTTAGGGTTTCTCTCTCCCACCTTTGATCCGTTCTGCACAAAATAGCAGTGAACTTCCCAAACCCTTTCTTATGTTTCCCCCTGTTAAGTCATGGTTCAGTCTACTTTATAGAATCAACTTATTTCTCATCCCAGCATCCATGAACCTTAGATAACCTTGCTTCCCTCACATTAAGATTAGCATTGAGTCATCTTACTCGACATGAGGGGTAGCACTGGGCACCTTCTCACTTGCAAGTCTGGGTGCAGACCCTGTAGACCAGCCGTGGGCAAACTACGGCCCGCGGGCCGGATCCGGCCCGTTTGAAATGAATAAAACTAAAAAAAAAAAAGACCGTACCCTTTTATGTAATGATGTTTACTTTGAATTTATATTAGTTCACACAAACACTCCATCCATGCTTTTGTTCCGGCCCTCTGGTCCAGTTTAAGAACCCATGGTGGCCCTCGAGTCAAAAAGTTTGCCCACCCCTGCTGTAGACTAATCTCCTGGCACCTGTGTTCATGCCTCTAGTATCTGGTCAAGTGCTGACATTCCTGCTACGTTGCTAGGTGGGCAGTAACCAGAGGCAAGTTGTTATCCAGGTGTGAGAAGGTGTAACTGATTATCAAGCGGAAGGAGCAGGCAGGGTCTCGTTCCTCTGGCCAGGGTGCATAGGAACGAGATAACGGGGTGAAGGGTAACCCAAAGAGCTGCATTCCTGCATCCCACCGGCCCAGTCCCAGGAGGGACTCCCAGGGCGAGTGGTGCCGAATGTCCAGGAGCAGTGGAGCTGTGTAACACGCAGACTCCTAGGCCCTCCTCGAGGTCCCGTCACTAGATGGGGACAAGGCCTGGCACCTGCACGAGACGCACCCCAGCTGATTCTGCTGTTGGGCCGGGACTGGGATCCATGCCTGGATGAGGAGGGCAAATGCTTGCTGTTAAGTCCCCTCCTGCCCCTGCCCCTCCTTCAGCAAATGCCCGCTGCTGGGCCTGCTCTGCGCCCACTCCTGTGATGGGTCCTCACAGAGAGAGGGCCCCTGCCCTGCCCTCAGGCCACGGGCCAGTGGAGGAGAGAGACAGGAGAGGTCAAGGCCACAGGCTTGGTGTTTATAGACGATAAATTCAATGGGGAAAACGGAGAGGCTGGGGCTTAGCTTGAGGGCGTGGTTTATTTGTGGGGTCTTGCGAGATCTGAGACATGTGAGTGTCCTGTTTCGCTCAGTGCTCCAATGAAGCTGTGTTTGCCGTGGACTTCCACCCCACCGACACCAACATCATCGTCACCTGCGGAAAATCACACCTCTACTTTTGGACGCTAGAAGGAAACTGCCTCATTAAGAAGCAAGGATTGTTCGAGGTGAAGTTCAATTACATTGGTAGTTTGTTTTCACTGAGTGTCTGGTGACCAGCTTTGCTTATGACCAGGGAGCTGTCAGGCATCCGGTCTCAGAATTTTTTCAGTGGCCAGTGCGGGGGTGCAAGTGGGGGTGTCGTGACAAAGACTATTCCCAGATCCAGATCCCTAACAGGATTGGGGAGCCCCTGTGTCATGGGGATGACAGTGGTGAGGCCGAGGGGGAAGGTGGGCCGACACGGGCGCACAGGGAAAGGATGCCCGGAGCGGCCATGATGGCCAAGAGCAGCCGAGAAGGCACTTAGGGGTCATCTGGGGAGCCCACCTCTGCCAAGGGTGGTGACACTCTGCCTTTTAGTCAGGCCACGTGGGGCCTTGTGAGAGCCCGGGGAACAGCACATCTTCTCTGTGGGGACAATGCTGCTACACCCGGAGATGGAGTTAGAGTATCTTTATTCTGGGGCCAGGACCCCGCTCCACGGACTGTAGTCATAACAACAACACCCACCCCTAAGCCCCCTCCAACACCTTCCTCCGCTCGAACTGCCTGCAACGTTATACATCCCAGGAATTTCTTTAGAGCAGGTCATCTCACAGCGTAAGTGACGTAACGGTAGATGAACATGAAAAGCATCAGTGTGGGGGCTCCATCCAGCTGGGATTATCGTGAGTCTAGAGAGTGTTAACACAGACGAAAGGCTGCCTTGACTGACTGTATTTATGCATTTACAACATTTGCAGAAGCAAGAGAAGCCAAAGTTTGTTCTCTGTGTGACTTTTTCTGAAAACGGCGACACCATTACCGGAGACTCGAGTGGCAACATCCTGGTCTGGGGAAAAGGTAACGCCTGGTTGCTCCCAGAGCTGACGCTTTGGCGGTGTTCTGAAAAGTCAAAGGCGACTTCTGTAAGAATTGTCTCTCAGTGAGTCCACAGGCTGGCTGTGAAACCCCACGGTATGCAGGTACATACATGCACAGGAGCAGAGGAAAAGGGAGGGAAGGGTCCGTGACCCTCCGTCATCCTAAAAGACTGGTTAAGCCCAGATGTTATGACGGAATAATAGCTTTATTAGGAGATCTAGTAACATCGTAAGCATGAAGGCATCCATGACTGTTTGCTTAGCCATGGAATATTTAATAAGTATCTGGTTCACGTAGCATTTGGCAGATGTTATCGATCACCAGTATGTGAGAGGCAGCGTGCTAGACGCCGGGGCATACAGATGAGTCACACCCGAGTCCCCCGTGCCAGTGAGCAAACAGCGTGGTACGGAGGAGCCGTCACTCAGAGAACGTCCATTCAGTAACATTCAGTGAGCAGTTGTGCACGCTCACCGTGTGCCAGGAAAAGGAAAAGTACACCATCCCTGGCTCAGGACCTTAGAGTTCGGGCTGTGGTGAAGGTGGGAGAGACCCTCGGTGTTATTTCCAGCCAATGGGGTGACTTCTGTGGAGTCCCCGCTCCTCTGGGTGCCGGGTGCTTGCTACAGTGTTTTCTTCCCCCTTAGAACAGGCCAGTGGGAAAAGCAGAGGGGAAACTGAGGTAGGACAGGTAAGTCGCTTGGCCAGAGACACAGGTCCCCAGACTCGAGTCCCCGTTCTGAGCTCGGGTCCCTGGGTTCTCTTCACACTACCTTCCCATCAGCAAGTTTCCTTAACTGTACAGTAATCCTGCCCGTGCCTGCCTGGTGCTCTGTGAACGTCTGCAGATCAGACCCTTTATAGCTAGATTTACACGTCCGTGATGTTCTAACCGACAATGTCAACTTTAAAATAAGAGTGGAAGCGACGGGCAGAGGTGAGCCTCTTCGCAAGGGACTAAGGATGGTTTTCTTGGTGTGTCTAGGTACGAATCGAATAAGCTATGCCATTCAAGGGGCCCACGAGGGTGGTATTTTTGCACTTTGTATGTTAAGGGACGGCACCCTGGTGTCGGGAGGCGGGAAGGACCGGAAGCTCATTTCTTGGAATGGAAACTATCAGAAACTTCATAAAACTGAGGTAAGACAGCAAGCAGTACTATTGACATCCGTTTTGAACCTTCAACTGTTGTCCTAACCAGTTTCCTTGTTGGTTTGAAATCTTTAGCCTACAGTTTTGAAAGTTGTTTAGATAAAATTTTATTAAGTAGTGTAGTATTTTATTAAAATCCTGGAGGCAGTTTAAGTACAACTATTAACATGGGATTCGATGTATAAAATCTGAGGTGGTAACATATTTCACATTTAGAATATTTTTATAATAGAACCAATCTCACTTTTCCAAGGGAATATTGTCTACGTTCTTACTTACCATTAAAATCTTTCTCCTTTTGTTCACTGTAATCTCCAGGGTGTTGCTTTGGAGACATTATTGCTTTGAGCTCATGTTTATTGAGTATCTACTTTGCACCTGACTGAGTGCCAGCATGTTCTCTCGTGAGCTCTGAGACCTTGGCCATCTCTTTCACCCCCTTTTACCTGGTTAGCAGCCTGCAGACGGCAGGAGCCAGAGGCGAGAAATCCAATATTCCCTCCACACTCGCCCCCAGACCCCAGGAAATTATGAGCAGACGGATAGCGCATCAGTCTGACAGTCGATGGTCTTTCTCCCCACCGGAGAGTGGGCACGCTGAGCGCATTTCCTACCTGGAAGGCAGGTTCTCACACTCGTTACACCTTGTAGCCCGCGTTCCATCAGAGAGTGCCGCACCGTGCTTTGGTTGTAGAAGAACTTGGCTTTCTGATTATTGCTCTTAATAAAGGAAGGCTTTCATCTGAACTTGGAAATCACTTTCCCTTTCACGGAGTTGTGTGTTGTTGTTTTTCTAGAGAGAATGGAAGGGGATAGAAGGGGAGAGAGAGAGAGAGGAGAGAGATAGAAAGAAACATCAATGTGAGAGAGACACACATCCCTGTACGCCTTCTACTGGGGATGGAGCCCAGAACCCAGCATGTGCCCTGACCAAGAATCAAACTGTGACCTCCTGGGTTCATAGGTTGACACTCAACCACTGAGCCACATCAGCCAGGCAAAAAATGCTTTACTCTTTATTATTTTTTTAACAGCCTTACTCTTGCTGGGTTTTCTGGGTTTTTTAAGGAATATAAAATGTTCAGAGTTTAAAAGTAAGATTTGGGGTTTTGATCATTCACTCAGCCATTTGATTGTGGACCTTTCCCTGTCTCTCCGTGTATAGCTGTGTGTGTATGTATGTGTGTGTGACAGGAGCTGTCGTCATGGTATATAAGCAAGTATTTTTAATGACGCCTTCCATCTTCTCTTTTCAATGCAGATTCCAGAACAGTTTGGTCCGATACGGACGGTGGCCGAGGGGAAAGGCGACGTGATCTTGATAGGCACCACCAGGAACTTTGTCCTGCAGGGCACGCTGTCAGGGGACTTCTCGGCCATCACTCAGGTGCGTCCCGTAGGCCCACCCCCTCCATCCCTGTTACAGAATGTGAGAAGCTGATAAAGCACCATACAGAGGGGGCTACTGCTGTGTTTTATATGAGCACAGCCTGTCTGCGCTGCGGGAGTTCCCGCTGGCTGTCCTGACTGAGGTGGGGGAGGAAGACACTCTGATGAGATTAACTGTAAACCATGCAGCAAGCCTAGTTTGTAATCCTTGAAAGCTCCCGGGCCCAGCGGCGTGGCTCAGTGGTTGAGAGTCAGCCTATGAACCAGAAGGTCACGGTTCAATTCCCAGTCAGGGGACATGCCCGGGTTGTGGGTTCGATCACAGGTGTGGGGAGTGCAAGAGAATCGATAATTCTCTTTCATCAACTGATGTTTCTATCTCTCCCTCTTCCTTCCTCTCTGAAATCAATAAAAATATATTGTAAAAAAGAATGAAAAGGAAAGCTCCCGAATGCTGGTTGTAGTGTTTCAGAGTGCGTGCATATGTCTTGGCTCTTTAGGGTCACACTGACGAGCTCTGGGGACTGGCCATCCACGCCTCCAAGCCCCAGTTCCTGACCTGTGGGCACGACAGACATGCCACTCTCTGGGACGCCGTCGGTCACCGGCCCGTCTGGGACAAGATAATAGAGGTAGGTGTGCACGTTACATCCATTTTCCTTGTAGAAATTCATCTGGAACATGTTCATTTATTTATTTGCATGAAATTGATAGATGTTAAATTGTCCCGATGCAAATGTCACTTAATTTATCGATTCGAATTGTGTTGCTTTAAGCGTTCCTGAGTGGTCTCACCTGTGTAATTGTGAAGGTTGCTGTCAAACATTTTTCTTTTTTTAATATATTTTTATTGATCTCAGGGAGGAAGGGAGAGGGAGAGAAAGAGAGAAACATCAGTGATGAGAGAGAATCATTGATCAGCTGCCTCCTGCACGCCCCACACTGGGGATGGAGCCTGCAACCCAGGCATGTGCCCTGACCAGGAATCTAACCGTGACCTCCTGGTTCATAGGTTGACGTTCAACCACTGAGCCGCACCAGCCGGGCACTGTTGAACTTTTTGACAGCAAGTCAGTCCCTCTGAGTCGGTGGTTGGGTTTCCTGACTGCGCCCGTCCACTGGCTTAGAGCTGAGAAGCCCTTGTTTGAGCCTGCATTCTGTTCACAATGTACCTTTGGAATGAGAATTATAAACTGTTCTAAAAGCGTACAGTTTCTCTCCACAACGCGATGATAACGGCAAAGCTTTCGTTTTAAAGTCCGCATCTCTGTGATTTTTATGAAAGGCCTCAGTTCACATAGCACAGCGCTGAACCGTCCTCCTACGCGTAAGGCAACCGTGACTGCACGTATTGAGCGCCGTTTGCATACCGAGCACCGTGGGTGCATTAACGACCCTGGTGCAGTCCTGCCAGTTGAAGTCTTTGTACCCTGCTCTTATTGATTCGGACACTGAGGCTTAGAGGCGTCACATCGCTTGCCAAGGTCACTGAGTTGGTGACAGAGCCAGTGTTCACCCAGCTCAGCCTGATCCCAGACCCAGGGTCTTCCATTGCTCCCACTGCTGTTGGCCAGGAGCACATCCTGCAGGGCCCCGTGTTAGGGGGCTCCTCTGTGACCCACACGCCCTGCAGCCCGCACAGTTGCCAGCATGCCCCAGCGCGCCGATCTGAGTCTCCGCCGCCTGCTTTTTGCTTTCAGGGAAGGTCAGGTCGCTGGGAGAGCAGATCATGGGATGCCAGAGCCTGAGGGGTGGCCCGGGGTGGCAGGGCATGGCTACAGGAGGTCCTGCCTTGTACCTGTCCCCACGCAGGGGCTTCATGTATGAAAAATACATGAGGGGTTTGTGCAGATCTGACAGCAGCCACCGGCACAGCAGGGACAGTGGCGGTCCGGGAGGGTGGCCGGCCCTGAGGCCTCGGCCAGCACAGAGCCCTGCTGAAAGCAACCCGGGCACACGCCGGCTCCTGCACCAGGCTGTGAGCTCCCTCCACCTGCATAAGGGTGGGGACTGACCCGGACGCCAGAAACATCCAGAGTTAAGTCCTGCCGCCTTTCTCCTCTGGCCATGTGGCCTGGACAAGACCTCCCTGAACCTCAGTGCCTTCATCTCACGAATGATTTGCTGGAGCCTCGAGGGGCCGTGACCTCTGTCTGTGTGACCGTGGCGGCCTGAGCTTCACTACAGCTCCCACTTTGGAAAAAGCGTCGCAATAACAGAATCAATACCGGAAGAGCTTCTGGTCGCATCTTCTTAGTTTATCCAGAAGTTTCTCCTTCTCCCAATTCTGTTTCCCTTGCTGCTCTTTCCTTGTCTTCCCGGGATTAACCTCTTCTCACTTCAGTGTGTCCTAAACACCCTGCCAGGTGACCCTCTGTCTGTCACAGATTCGATCCTGCACTCTTTCTCCTGGAAGAAAAAGACCACTCACTGTGCTATTTCCTAGTGACCACAGTCCTTAGCATAGCAACGCAGCCCCATTCCCAGTGTCACCGCACGCTTCCCCGTCCCCCACCCCGTGAACTCGGCATCGTAAACCCACTGCCGTTTCTCAGCTGGGCCCCAAACTACATTGCTTCCACCTTTTTTATCACGTTACTGTCCCCTTAACCCTTGATCCCCCAAAATACCGGTGTGTCTACTTCCACATTCACCACCGAGGGGTCCTCCTGTGGCAGAAGGCGGAGTCAGGCCGTCTGCCTCCACCCAGCCTCCGCCCAGCCTCCCTGTCTGCCTCCTCTGACTCCCGGCTCCTGGGACCCCACAGCTTGTCACCCACCACGTTCCATCTTGTATCAGTTAGCATTGAACACGTGTGTGTACCCCCAGACCCAAGTGGGAGCGGGCCTTGCTCATCTCTGATCCTTCCAGGGCTCCAGGCTGCCCCACACTCAACCAGAGTCCACCTAACTAACGGCACAGGTGCAGTGGGCATGCGTCCCAACCGATGGCGCTCACCCCGCGGCCTGGGGTCACCTGCGCCGGCTCCCAGGACTTAGAGGACGGGCGCACACTTCCTGCCTGCCACCTGACTACTGTAGCTGTGAAAGGGTGTGAGACAGAAAGGGAAAGTCCCAGTTTCCTCCCTGGAGAGGAAAGAGATTTAAAATGGGGCCACACGGCCCTGAGGGACTAGGGCTGTGCTGTGTTTTTATGCTACCGTGCTGTCTGGCCATCAATTTACACTTCCTTTAAAATATTTTAGGATCCAGCTCAGTCTTCTGGTTTTCATCCTTCAGGGTCTGTGGTTGCAGTTGGAACACTGACCGGGAGGTAAGTCCACAGCAGTGCGCTGTGCTCACGGTTCAGGGAGTGTGTTTCCCCAGCCTCTGGTGACTTACCAAGTGAGGCCAGAACCCCAAAGGGAAATGAAGACAGGGTCCTTCACGTTTTGGCCCTGGGGGAAGCTGTGGCCCCCTCCTGGAGGAGCACACACGTGCATGCACAGGCACACACTAGGCACATGCACACACGTGCACATGTACACACGCACGCACGCACACACACACCCTTGTATCCAGTTTCACAGGATGAGTTGCTCCTCGAGCCCTCTGCTGCCCGTGGTGGGAGGAACCTCAATTCGGAATCGAGCAAGGAAGCATTTCACAGCACTGAGAATTTAAAATGCTTTAAATGCTGCCCTTTCAGAATTTTAGAAACCGCCCCGATCCCGAGCCTCAGATTCAGACTCAGCTCACACTTACTGTGCCTCCGAAGGCCAGGCAGCAGATCGGTGCTGGAGCTCCCGCCTCTCCGCTTGGAGAGTGGGTCATCCGCTGTTGGACATTTGCCGAGTGCTGTGTCCTTATTAGGGATTCGGACCATTTCTGCATCTGTTACAGCCTGCACTGACTTAGCCCTGGGTCTGCACAGTGGTTCTGGGCCCCAACCCCCACCTGACAGCTGAGGAAACAGCCCAGAGGGGTTAACCTCAGACACCAGCCCTCTGCTCACTCTTCCGTTCCCTCCATCGTTTCTTTCACCCGGCTGGTTGCACGCCAGCATTCCCGGAGGTCAGACACTCCATGCAGTTGGGCACATCACCACCCCTGAGGGTGTCCCAGCCCCACCCCGGCACCTGTTCTGCTTCACCCTGCGGTGGGGCCATGCAGGGGGTCCCTTTGCCACTTCCTGTGGCCACAACCCCGAGTTAGGTGTTGGCCCCGCTTCTCTGCCCAGAGCTGTCCCTCCTTTTACATGGAAGTGACAAAACTCAGACCTAAGGAAGCCGTCATAGCCTCGGTAACCAATCATTCCTGGTGTCAGGGTGTGCTCCATGGTAGGGTATGCTCGCAAGTAGGACCTATTCTGTACATGGAAGCTGGGAATGGTGTTCTTGCTAAGTAATACAGAGGACTTATTAAGCCCTTAGGTTAAAGTTTCTAATAGTCTGACTGTTATTGTAATAGTCTTGCTTCACCCTCCACTAAACCACGTATTGTACTTTTCTCCTGTTGGCAACAGGTGGTTTGTGTTTGACACAGAAACAAAAGACTTGGTCACCGTGCACACGGATGGGAACGAGCAGCTGTCCGTCATGCGGTACTCGCCAGGTGAGCGCGCACCGCCCCGGGAGGTTCTGTGCAGATGTCTTTACAGGAAGTTTCACACGCCTCCCCAGAATGGTCACTATGCTTGTGTTGTTGTCTAACTCTTTATTATGGAAATTTTTAAACAAACAAAACTGGACAGAAGAGCATAATGAGCCCCCGTGTATCCGTCACCTGCTGCAGCACTACGGACTCTCAGCCAGTCTCGTTCATGTCTTTTATTAGAGCCCCGCTGCCCCCATGTCATTTTGAAGCAGTTCACAGACATCTTAGCCTTTCTTCCGTTAGTATCGCTGTGTCTCAGAAAAGTGAGGACTCTTTTTTAGCAGCTTTGCTGTGTCTCAGAAAAGTGAGGACTCTTTTTTAGCAGCTTTATTGAAATATAATCTACATATGACAGTTTACCCATTATAAACGTATAACTCATTGATTCTTAGTGAATTAGTAGAGTTGTGCAACATCACCACAGTCCGTTAGCAATTAATCTCCGCCTCCACCCCCAGTTCTGGCACCCTCTAATGTGCTGTGCTGATCTTCGAATGGCCTGTTCTGGACATTTCATATCAGTGGAATAAGACAACATGTAGCCTGTTACATAGGCTTCTTCTTTTTAGAATAATGTTTTTGAGATTAATTTATGTTATTGTGCATGTATCAGTACTTTATTCCTTTTTTAATTGAATTTTGGGGGTGGCATTGGTTAATAAAATTATTCCTATAATACATTAACTATATATTGTAGTGTGTGTTCACCACTCCAAGTCAGGTCTACTTCCATCACCATTTATCCCCCCTATATATCCCTTTTTAATTACTGGATGGTATTCCATTTTGTGGATATACCACATTTTCTTTATTCATTTATCAGTTAACAGACACTAGGATTGTTTCTGTGTTTTGGTTATTAGGAGTAACGCTGCTATGAACAGTTATGATATGTACTTTTTGTAGACATTTGTTTTCATTTTGCTCGGGTGAATTCCTAGGAGTGGAATTGGTGGATCATAGGGTGAATTTATGTTTAACATCTGATGAAAATGCTTTCCAAAGTGGCTGCCCCACTTTACAGTCCCACCAACACTGTGTCAGGGGTCTAGTTTCTCCACATCCTCACCAACACCTGCCATAGTCTGTCTTTTTCAGTAGAGCCCTCCTAATAGAGGTGTAGTGGTTTCTCAGGTGGTTTTAAGATACATTTCCATAAAGACTGTCAGAGAGGTTAAGCATCTCTTCATGTATCTACCAGTCATTTCTGTATCTTCTTTGATGAACTCTCTACCCAAATATTTTGCCCATTTTTAATTGGGTTGCTTATCTTACTACTGAGTTGTAAGAACTCTTTCTATATTCTATGAGGTCTTTATCAGCTATATGATTTGCAAATGTTTTCTCTCAGTGTATGGCTTGTCTTTTCATTTTCTTAATGGGGTCTAAAAAAGCAGATGTTTTAATTTTGATGAAGTCCAGTTTATCCATTTTATTCTTTTATGGATCTTGTTATGGTGTCATAGTCAAAAGTCACAAAGATTTTCTCCTATGCTTACTTTTAGAAAGGTTATTGTTTTAGCCATTATATGTAGGTCTATGATCCATTTTTGAGTTAATGCTTGTGTATGGTGAGAGGTCAGTCTAAGTTTATTTATTCTGCATGAAGATATCCAGTTGTCCCATCACCATTTGTTGAAAATACAATTCTATCCCTATTGGATTATCTTGACACTTTTGTCAAAAGTCCATTAACATGCCCTAGCCGATTTGGCTCAGTGGATAGAGTGTCAGCCCGAAGACTGAAGAGTCCTGGGTTCAATTCTGGTCAAGGGCACATATTCGGGTTGCTGGCTCGATCCCATGTGGGAGGCACCTAATTGATGTGTCTCTCTCACATCGATGTTTCTCTCTCTGTGTCTCTCTCCTCCCTTCCACTCTCTCTAAAAAACAATGGAAAATATCCTCAGGTGAGGATTAACAACAACAGAAAATCCATTAGCAATAAATATAAAGGTTAATGTCAAGATTCTCAGTTCTATTCCTTCATTTATATATCTAACCATATACCAGTATCACACAATTTTGATTATTGTACTTTTGCAGTAATTTTTAAAATTGAATAGTGTAATTACTCCAATTCTGTTCTTTTTCAAAATTGTTTGACTTATTTTAGGTCCTTATCATGTCTATGTAAATTTTAGAATCAACTTGTCAAGTTCTAATTTTAAAATCTACCAGGATTCTCAACCTTCTGGCCCTTTAAATGCAGTTCCTCATGTTGTGACCCAACCATAAAATTATTTTCATTGCTACTTCATAACTGTAATGTTGCTACTGTTATGAATCATAATGTAAATATCTGCTATGCAGGATGGTCTTAGGCGACCCCTGTGAAAGGGTCGTTCGACCGCCAAAGGGGTCACGACCCACAGGTTGAGAACCGCTGTTATAGATCAATATGGGGAGAATTGCTATCTTTACAAGATTGAGTCTTATAATCCTTGAACTTAGAATGTCTCTCCATTTATTTAGATCTTCAATTTTTATCAGCAATGTTTTACAGTTCTCAGTGCACAAGTCTTATACTTCCGTTGTTAAATTTGTTCCCAAGTTGCTTTTTATGCCATTGTGAATGAAGTTGTTTTTTCTTTTGTTTTCAGAATGTAGTTTGCTAGTATAGAGAAATAAATTTTTTTTGCACATGGATCTTATATCTGTGACTTTTCTAAACTCTTTTATTAGTTTTAGTAGGTTTCTTTGTGTGTAAAATTCTTGGGATTTTCTTCATACAGGAGCATGTCATCTGCAAACAATGACAGTTTTACTCATCTTTTTAAATCTGGGTGCCTTTATTTTTTTCCTTATTGCATTTGCTAGAACCTCCAATGTGATGATGAACAGAAATGGCAAAATGGGTCCTAGCCTTGCTCCCAGTCTTAGGGTGAAACAGTCATTTATTGTTAAATATCATGAGGAAGTTCCCTTCCATTCCTAATCTGGTTGGTTTTTATTATGAATGGGTGTTAGAATTTGCCAAATGCTTTTTCTGTATCTATCAAGATGATCATGTAGTTTTTGTCATTTTATCAATATGGTGCATTACATTAATTTCAGATGTTAAGCCATCTTTGCATTCCTGGGATAAATCTCACGTGGTCATGGTATCTAATCCTTTTTATATTTTGCTGGATTCTGTTTAATATTCTGTTACGGATTTTTGCATCCATGTTTATGAAGGATATTGGTCTGAAGTTTTCTTGTGATGGTTTTGTCTGGCTTAGTTATGAGACTGCTATTGGCCTACAGGGAAACTTGGAAAATGTTTCTTCTTTGTTCATTTTCTGAAAGAGTTTATCAAGGATTGGTGTTATTTCTTTATTAAATATTTGATAGAATTCATGTGAATTCAGTGAGCCATCAGGGCTTTTCTTTGTAGGAAGGTTTTTAATTTCTAATTTAATTTCTCAGCTTCTTATAGATCTATTCAAATGTTTTGTTTTTTCTTAAGTCGGTTTTGGTGATTTTTACATCTGAGTTGTCTAATTTATTGGCATAAAGTTGTTCATAACATTTGTTTTTAATCCTTTTCATCTTTCTGAGGTTGGTAGTGAAGTCTTCTTTCATTCTTGAATCTGGTAACTTGTATTTTCTCTCCTTTTTTCTTGGTCAATCTAGTTACAGATTTGTCAACTTTGTTGATCTTTTCAATAATCAGGCAGAGGGGGGCAGTGTGCACAGAGATGAGGCGGGAAGGGCCTCCCAGGCCGGGGAGGAGGCCGTGTTCAGAGGCCTGAGAACCTGCAGCTCCGTGAGCAGTGAGTGGCTACATCCTGGAGGGCCTTGTGGCCCCACTTACAAACTGAGCCTCGGTCCCTCCACTTCTGAGCGGGAAAGGGTGTTATAAGGAGAGGAACTGGCCAGGTGCGATTTCCAAAAGGTAGTCCTAGAAGTGGGAGAGGAGTCATTCAAGCACACATTTTCTTTTTGAAATAACTCATTAATCTGACTTGTTTTCTAAATCTGTGATGGCACCTAGCATTACCCCTTATAATTGATCAAGTGTTTATTTTTAATAATTGAATTATAATCTGCCATATCTTTGTAGACGGGAATTTCTTAGCAATAGGCTCCCATGACAACTGTATCTATATCTACGGAGTCAGTGACAATGGGCGGAAGTACACACGAGTCGGCAAATGCTCGGTAAGCCTCCTGATTTCTCATGCCCGTGTCGGGGGTCATTACTGTTGGTCAGGAGCTCATCAGACACGGGAACCTCATAGGCTGTGTTCCTCTCCCAGGGTCATTCCAGCTTCATTACTCACCTGGACTGGTCTGTAAACTCACAGTTCCTCGTGTCAAATTCTGGAGACTACGAAATCCTTTACTGTGAGTAGCACCCAGGGTTACGTTTCCTCTGAGACCAAAGCTGGCCTCCTGCCAAACCCGCTTCCCGTACACCTCGGGCCTCGGCTGTGTCCTCTGTGAAACAGATGGTGGGCCGGGCCCCTTGCAAGTCCTTCCCAACGCTGAGACGCCTGAGACCGGGCCGACCATGGTCCTGTCGAGGAGATAAGGGCCCCGGGAAGGAGAAGGCCAGGCTCTGCAGAGAGAAGCCGGAGGGGGCAGCTGTGGCAGAAGAGAGTGGGGTCAGAGCCGTCACAGTGAGAGGGACCCCGTGGGGACATCATCCCCCTGAGGCAGACCATGAAGGCTCTCCCGCCTGGGTGACAGCAGCCCCCTGGGATCCCTCCTCCTCTCCCAACCCCTCTGGCTGGTGTCTGTGCCCAGGCAGGACCTGGGAGTGGTGAGGGTCATAATGGCTGGCACTTACTGAGCACATGGTGCATGCCGTGCTCTGCTTCGGCAAACACTTGCCAAGCACCTGCCGCATGCCCAGCTCTGGCTAAACATGGCCGGGGGTAAGGGAGGGCGGGGGGGGGCAGGGCACAGAGCATGAGGGCCTGGGCTCCACCTGCTGGAAGGTACTGAAAAGTGCTGCTCTGACCTCCATCTCCTTCAGGAGCCACAGCACTTGCAGGCTCATCCCCTTTTGTAAACAAGGAAATCGGGCCCAGACAGGAGGCCATAGGCATCAAGGCCAGCGGGGGGACGGGAAGGTGGGTGATCACCCAGTTGTTGAAGAGCTCGGACAGGCAAGGCAGCTGGAGGTGGAGGGAAGGAGAAGATACCTGGGCCAGGACCGTGCCCCCTCCAGCAGGGCTGGCAGCCAGGGGCAGCCCTCCCGCCCTCTCCAAGGTCCTGCCTTGTGCGGGGCAGAAACGGGGGAAGGTTTTCAGGGACAGGCCCTGGGTCTCTAGACTCTTCTCAGACACAGTCTCACACTTCACTAGTAAGAGCTCATTTGGGGAACAAACCAGTCACCTGGGAGGCCATAGGTACTTGGTTGACTGGTTTTCATAAGCTTGGGGTTAAAGGGATTGGTGTGTGTGTGTGTGTGTGTGTGTGTGTGTGTGTGTGTGTGCGCGCGCGCGCGCGCGCGCTTCTATGTGGGGGAGGGAGAGAGATAGGGAGCTCAAGTTGTGTTCAGGGCTCCAGGGGGCACAGGAGCAGGTGGAGGCCTAGGAGCCAGAGGATGGTCAAAGAGAAGAGAAGCCAGACTGGGGGAAACAGACCCAGGGAGGGAGGTGGGAAGCCAGCGAGGAAGTGGTGGGCCCCTCGCAGGCCCCGGGCTGGGCTCAGTGCCGGCCAGGAGTGCGATTCCCCTGGGCTGGGAGGTGGATCCGGTCCCTTTCCTGAGGGCCCTGCCACACCCCAGAAAGAGAGGGGTCTTTTGCTCAGATGTCACCACACCTGCGTTTGCTTTTTCCAGGGGTTCCCTCCGCATGCAAGCAAGTCGTCAGTGTGGAAACTACAAGAGACATCGAGTGGGCTACATACACCTGCACTTTGGGATTCCACGTCTTTGGTAAGTTTCCGCAGCTTTCACGCGGTTCAGATGTAAGTGTGTCCACTTTCAGAATACTCCCCTAACGGTCAGGGAGCCTCGGAGTCGCCAGTTTCGTCAGCGTGCTGAGCCGCTGTGTGTGTGAGGCCCGCAGGACCCAGTCCCTGCAGCTCCGGGAGGGCCGGGCGAGAGGAGTCAGGACACGGTGTCCACCCTTTCCCTGTGTGTGATGGTTGTGCCCGAGTTCCTGGGCAGATGAGCAGACGGCACTCAGTCAATTCACTCATCCTTTGTTAGTTATTACTCCATCTTCTTGGTCCTTAAACTCGAATTTTCACTTCTAAGTTCAGATTAGGAATATATTCCTAAATGATCTAAATTAAATTGCCACAATACAGTATTTATAACCTCTTTCTGCAAGACTATAGGTCAGTCATTTGGTCAGAATTTCATAACTCTGTTTAGAGCTGGCATTTTACCAGTTTCTGGCCTTAAGAGCGAGGACCCCCTAGGTTTACTGTGGAATTGTAGGCTGGAGATATAGATTCACACACAGCTCACTACCGCTCAAACCGACCGGGACCTAAGACGGTTCCTTTAGCAAGGGCCTCGAGTTACCACCCAGAGCAAGTCTTCCAGCCCACCAGAGCCAGAGCTGCTGCCTCCCCCGGCCCACGGCAGGCAGACACGACACCTGCCTGGTGTCAGCAAGCAGCAGCCACAAAGAGCTGACCCCAGGAAATGTCTGAAAGGCACACTCAGACTCAGAGTTAAAAAGTTCTTGGGAGAGACTTTCATATATAAAGAGTTGCCTGGAAAAAAGAACAGGACACTGCATCCTTGAGAACTAGTCAGCTTCCCATCAGACACTTGGGGACAAAAGAAAGGCATTGTGTCCAGAAGCAGGGTTTCTGGCGCACTTTGTGCTGTATTGTCAGGAAGCCCCCCCCCAAAAAAGGACAAAAAAGAAGGGGCCCCCAAAAGGTAGGAGCCCAGCGAGCCTGTTGTTGCTCCTGTCCTGCCACAGAGCAGGGCTGAGCCTTGAAGGGGTTCTTGGGAGGCCTGGAGTGAGCCGCTCACAGGAACAGGGAGAGACCCAGAACCAGACAGAGCGCTCTCTTGGCCCTGGTCTAAGCCTGGGACGTGGGCGATTTTACTCTGGTGAGAGTTTAAAGCAGTCCCCACGCAGTGGCAGTGTTTCTGGTATTTCCCATGCTGTCTGTGGTCTTCGTTTTAGGAGTGTGGCCTGAAGGCTCGGACGGGACCGACATCAATGCCGTCTGTCGGGCCCACGAGAAGAAAGTCCTGTCGACGGGCGATGACTTCGGCAAAGTGCACCTCTTCTCTTACCCTTGTTCGCAGTTCAGGGTAAGGACCGGTCTTCACAAACCT